CTTTTTTTTTTAATGTGATGGTAGTTGTTGAGATCTATACATTAGAAACTAGCATACAAAATTTGTATTAAGTTGTCAGACAGGATCTATGGAGTTGCTTAGTATTGTATGCTTGCATTAACTGGATAAAGAGAGAAAAAAATCACAACTCACTATTTATATTTACATGAAAAGTGTAAAGTAAATTATTACTCAATTACAATTATAACCTTAATCATTGAATTACAACAATACCCTTTAGCTCTAACAAAACGGGCAAAATACAAAAACAACCCTCAATAAAACTTTTAATATTCTTCTTGTTTCAAAATGCATTCTTGGCTTTATGACTTTTTATTACTATTAGTCAATAGTTATTTATAAATATAAAAAGTCATAATAGAATATTTTTTTTATTTTTTATTTTTTATTTTAAGTTATGAGTTTTTTTAATTGTTAATAAAATAATTCTAAATAATTTATTACTTTCTTTTATTTTTTTTATCATTATGTGTCTTTTTTTATTTTTTAAGTTAAATATTGACTAAAACTATTTTTATTATTATTAAATTAAATTAAATTATGATATTCTTTATAATTTTTTATTTTTTTAATTATTTAAAAATAATAATGATTTCTTATATTTGCAAATAACTGTCGACTAATGGTAATGAAAAGTTTAGGAGACTGGATAATATATTTTGAAATAAGAGAAACTAAAATATACTTTAAAAATATATTAAAAGAAATTTTTGTATTTTAACCTTAACAAAACCAACTAATCGAGGAAAGCCAATACCAAGCCCCTGCTGGGTGCATTTGCCAAATGATATTGTCATCGGAAAGAGCAAAGGGTAGCTTTATTTGGGTCCATACATTGTTAGACTTGTCACTTTCCAAAACCCAACGAATTATTAGATATTTTAATTATAAAATATACTTTTTGCTTAGTTATATATATATAAATTATCATGGATCCTCAATCCATATGAAATCTAGTTAAGAGTATCATTAAATTCTTATAACAATTTTTTTTTAATGTTATTGGAGTAACCAAACTTCGAGATTAGATCAAGAGAAGTTAAACAAAGACAGGTACAAATAACTTTGCGACAATTATTACCTCCTTTGCTTATATTTGAAGTGAGTGTAAATTATTTTTTGTGCAGCCAATTAAGCCTGAACACAGATTAAAACTGTCTTAATCAGGATAAACTATATATCCAACATTTGCACACAAAGCCAAAGAATGTGCAACTCTGTCACATTTATGTTTATATTGGCGGTAAAATGGGTCCTTAACCCCCAAACAGTACCATGGCGTATGAAAAACATTGTGTTACATCTTGAGGTGCCGAAAGAGAAAGCTGTAAATTGGAGTATCAACCACACCCCGAAAGAAGCTAATGGTCTGGCAGCCTCACTTGCAACAGCTGGGCTCCAAAGAGTTCCTGCAGGTTACAGGTTTGCGCCTGATGATCTTGATGATTGGTCATGCTTTGCTTACTAACTGGAAGCTATAGCCATGTGCCGGTTTTGCAAACGACAGGAGGATTGGCGATAAAGGTGGTTCTGGTACTGGGTATGATGAATATGTACATATCTTCATTTTAGTGAGGTTGCATTTTTTGAACAACCTCGGTGTTGGATTGGGTGTTTTGACTTGGTGCCAGTTTGAATGTCGGGTGCTGGTTTTTGTTTTTGTAAATGTCATGTAATCAAGCATTACCATCATATCCTCTTTATTGCAGAAAGTAATAAGGACATTATGCCCTTCAGTTGAGCGAACCTATGCTGTGACTCTTTCTTCTAGCAGTTTGATTTGGATTTGCATACAATTGATCAGAACTTAAGTCTTCCCATTACACTTCCCCTTAACCATTCAGCCTCGTCTTCTTCAATATCCACCCATATACCATCCTTGTTACTCTCTTGGGTTGGCTCCTCTTTTTCAAAGATGGTGGACTTTTCAATCTCCTAGGTTTGACCTCCAACTACAACATTTCTGTATGATCTTTGCTTTCTCTCACCTTGTTCTTTCATACTGTAAGACACCTTTCCCATACCCCTTCCCCTGGACTCATTTGCCTCCTAGATGAAAAGGAAATTTCTGTCAAATTTAATGTTCTGTCAAATTTCTGTCAAATTTCCCCTACACTATGGGATCCCCACCGATCTCTTACTCTTTCTCTCTCTCTCATGTTTTTTTATAAAGAGTACATTGAATGTCAGAAGTCAGTAAGTCAAGTTATTTTAATTCATTAGTTTTTATAATTTATTAATATTAATAAGATAATAGAAAGTTCTTCATGTGCAGCAAAACTAGTTTAATTAAAAATTGGGTGGAGTACAGTTTCTTACAAATTGATAATAGTTCCACCGATCCTAAAGTTATTGCATACATACAATTAGAATATATTTATTAGAAGGATGTAAAACTTTTTACTATCAACAAAAATATTGTCCCATTAACATGCTTCCTATCTACCTTCTACCGTCGGTTTATTCTTTACAATGTAACTTACTTCTTTTACTCTTAATTTTCTCCTTTTAGACTATAAGAAGGCCAACAAACTCTTAAACAGCAACCATGTTTTCGAGTCCACCCAACATTTCATCTCATGTTCTAAAGCTCATAAGTCATACCAACTTTAAGCAACCGTTTGTGAGGAATTTCGAACACTTTATCAGTTTGCCTCAAATTTTTCTTTATAAAATTGTAAGCATAGTCTATCAAAATCTTCTTTCCTGTACTAGCTCCTTTGCCTGCAATTACCTCATTCTCACCAACCAAGTGAACAACGCCAGCTTGCCACGCTTTGTCCACTAATTCAGTTTCTTTCTGCACTGCCTCTTGTTGCTCGCCTTCTCCATCTTGCTCCATGTTCTCATGTTCAATTTCTTTGTTGACAAATCCATCCTCCAACTCTGTATCCTTTTCAGCTGCTGCCCTATTACTAGCTAGCCTTTGAGTTAACCAACTGTCTTCTTCGATATACTCTTTTAATCTTTCTAGTAAAGTCTTCTCAAAAGTGTCTCGCTCATTATGCACATCTGTATACCCATATCTAACGACACAGTGAAACATATGAAACTCTCTTGGTTCCAGTCGTCGGAAAAGAAATCTTTCTTCAATTGGAACCTTGCTAATTGGTAGTGATTTGATGGAGACGAAAACAAGGACCGAGTGCAATGCTGATACATTCGCCAAATAATGCTTGAAGATGGGTGGGATACCATGAACAAGCTCCGAGTAAAACATGGCAAGCCCAGGAATTCTACTGAAATTTGTGTTGACAGTTATCTCCTTCAATTTTTCGGAAGAAATCTTGTGATCAAGCTCATAATAGTACTTTTTTCGATAAACATTGTTCCAAATATACATCACAGCCATTAAAACTGCTGCAAAAGCCAGTGGCAAGTATCCTCCCTGATCAAATTTGTATAGAACTGAACTCAAATATAGTAGCTCCACAGAACCGATGATAAGAACATAGGCAATTACGAAAAGCATGTTGGTTTTCCATATCATTATCATGATGAGAACCAACAAAGATGATGTGAGAGTCATTACAAATACCACTGCAATTCCTGTACGTAGTAATCTCTCATTAATTTTTTAATATTTAAGGTTAACTTTTAACAGATCAACTAATATGACTATACATATGTATGTGTGTGAGCGTCACTGCAAATTGAACAACGTATATATATATATATATATATATATATATATATATATATATAACGAATATGAAAGTTTTGTGGATTACCGTATGCATTGCCGATCCTTTGAGTGGTCTTGAAACCAGCAGTAACTCCCACACAAGCCAACATCAGCAGGTAATTAACCTCAGGAATGTAAACTTGTCCTTCATACTTGGTGGATGTATGGACAACTTTCACTCGAGGGAAACACCCTAGGGAGAGTGATTGCTGGATTATAGAGAAAGTCCCTGAAATCATGGCTTGACTTGCTATAATTGCAGCCGCCACTGCCACCACAAACATTGGCCAATACACAGGGCCTGCATCATAACAAGCCACGTTATTATTAATATAGAAATCAAACAAATGTTAAATTAGAAGAAGAAAATTGCATTTCCTCGAAAGTTCATTGTGCACCTGGTATTGATTTGAAAAAGGTACCAGCAACTAAATTTTCGTGTTTACGAAGGAAAGATGCTTGTCCAGTGTATGCTAGTACTAAAGCCGGGTAGGTCACGGAGCACATGCTTATTTGTACGGAACGAACCGTGAAATGGCCAACATCAGCAAACAATGCTTCCGTTCCTGCATCGAAGTGTAACTTGTTAACTAAATTTGAAGCTTTCTCAAGAAGTAGAGCGAATTTAATTAAATAGGCGCTCTAAATTAAACTGCAACCTGTTGTGGCAAGAACGACACCGCCAAGGGAAACCCACGCCTCCTTTTTGTTCCTCCTAAAGTAATCTATAATGTACAGAGGATTTATGGCTTTAACGACTGTTGGATCAAATTTAAAGAAGTTGTAAACGCCAATTCCACCAATGAATGTGAACCAAACGCAAATTATAGGAGCAAAGGTATAGCCCACTTTGTCGGTTCCAAATCTCTGAACCATGAAGAGGCAAATCAAGATAGCTATCGATGTCCAAACAATTGTCTCTGTTCACAACGAATATGTTTAAGTGAGTTGCTTGCCTTTTGTTTTCAAAACATATCAGTTTATTTTCAATTCCACGTGTGTGTGAGAGAGGTGTTGCAATTAGAACAGAAAACCTTCACTCAGAGTTGATTTAGCTTCCCTAATGCCTCCCACGGCTGACAAAACTGCAAGTTGTAAACGATCGATTTTAAATAATTGATGAACCAGTTCTAGAAGAGAACCCTGAAGCATTAATATATATAACAAATGATTAAACCTGAGATGCAAGGAGTGAGGACGCCATCGCCAATGACCATGGAAGTACCGAGCATTGTGATGATCAAGAGGAAATTTTTGGCAAAATTGCTGTTCTCTAACTTGGACTTGAGTCTTGATGCCCGTTTAAGACGATTGCTAGGCAACTGCAGCTTAAAATTGGAGACATGAGAATCCTCAGCTTGTTGACTCGGAATCAAACTCACCCTTGCATATCGGCATATCAGCGAGTAGAGTGCAAATGTTCCTCCTGGTATACATATAATTCGATGAGATGCATTTGACTTTTTCACCACCTTAATTTCAAGATGATTCTGTCTTCACCCATGCAAGCTATGGTTCCACAAAGCAAATGCGTGTAAGACCATTCTTTTCACCAAATGTTTGGTGTTGGTGATTGGTGGATTCATGCAAAGTCGAATGAGTAAAACTCTCAGTTGAAAACAAAAATGATTTTTTTTTTAATTTTGGTGACGAAAATTAAATACATTCTTTCATAATTAAATTATGTAACCTTGAAAAAGTAAATTTGCTATCTACCTTATGCAAATTAGATTCTTTTTTGGAGTTAATTAAGAAAGTGCAAGATGCTTTATTCTTACTGAAAAATGGACTTCAGAGTTCTTACTAGGTCAAGATTCAACCCATGTGGGTTGCATCTGGAGAATAAAATTACAAATATATCAATCAATGTGAGAGCATGCACCAATAGTTTAAATAAAAGATTAAAACCAAACAAATTGATTCAGGATCAATTAAGGTATCAACAAAAAAATAAACTTCAAAGTTGGCACCTTTTTATTTATATTTACATTAATTATTGTCTACATGGGTATTTTACGTTCAAATAATTATTGACTTATGAATATGAAGAAATAATTGACAAAACCTATGCTTTTTTAAAAAGAAATTGTCGAAAATTTTTACGTAACATGGATATAGAATTGGGAAGAGAAAGGCCAAGGCTTGTCGGTACTTTGCTCTCTTCTTTGCTTTAGCCTTGTTGGCGGCATGTTGAGGGTACGACACGAATTAATTTGAACACTTTGATCCTGATCTTTTCCCTTTTACAAAATCTTGTCTCTCTGGGTTTGACCGCCGGGAAAAGCCAAGATCTGAAAAGAAATTTGAGCCTCCTGCCGAGGAGGAACGTATTTTCCTTTTTCCTTCTCGTTTTAAGGGAGAGATCATTTGGTTTGAATGGTGGAGAAAGACTTCCCCTGTTTTCTTTTCGGTGCAAAAGACTAACAGAAAGAGGAAAGAAAAATAACTATGGTATGTCATTTTCTGCCAACCCCAAGAGACTAATATATTTAGAAAACAGCTTTAATTTTTAACTCCAATCGTCACTGTCGAAGTCATCCTCTAGCACGAAACAGCATTAGTGTTCGCTTTGGTCTCAACTTCTCTCAAAATATAGCAAATAGCAACGAAGCAATAAAAATAATACTACTGTAAGAGAGAGACTAGAAAAAAAAATACAAAAATACAAAAAATTGACAATTAAACAGGGAGAGCATGGACATCTAAAATTAAGAGCTTGCTGAACTTATCTTACCTTCGCCATTATCATTGGCTCGTAAGACGATGAAGACGTATTTGATGAGAGGGATGAGAGTGATGGTATAGAAGATCAAAGAAAGAACTCCCAATATGTCATCGCTGTGATTTATGCCACTGGGGAAAGTACTAGCATATACGTAGAGAGGCGAAGTGCCGATATCTCCGTATATTATGCCAATGCTTTGAAATGCTAGATTCAAGATCATCGACCACTCCAAATCCTTTAGATATCAGAAATAAATTTTATATTAGAAAATAACATAATATTACTGTTATATAAGATTTTTTAGTTTTCCGGCAAACCTGGGCGCCACGGTCATGGTGGCCTGGAACCTTGGCGGATTCCAGGTCCAGGGAATCGTAACTGCGCAACTTTGGAAATGAGTGGTTCTTTTCCTCGAGCTGGTCTTGTGTAACTTCGTCATGATCAGTTTCCTCTATGGGGTCCTGGACAACAGTGTTATTAGACATTTTCCTAGACCCAAGGCGGAAACAAACAAAGGAAAACTAATACTAGTGCTTGGATTTATGTATATAAAATTGATGAAGAAAGCATCTAGCCCCTTCCTTTCTTTCTCTCTACTTTCTGTCACACACAGAAAGGTTTGAGAATATGAAAGTGTTGGGTCGAGAGTCAAGGGCTATGCTGCTATGGGCGCTTGTGACGAGCTTCTCGATCTGGTGATGGCTGTAATTTATAGGCTAAAAAAGAGGGAGGGCCCATGGCAAATGTTTCTTTTTTCCAACGTGCATTACATATGTCGATGGTGACTTGTTGAGGATTGTCATATCTAAGTGCCCTTTTTATATTGTCTTGTGGCTCACTTTTCACAGTGTTTTTGTACCAAAACCGCAATAAGTTGGTGTCCCATGTTTTGGGATACTTCTTGCAATTTCTACTTACATTTTAGGCTTTTCCCAATTCCTATTTTTTTCCCCTTGTGATCAAATGATGGTAAAGAATACTTCAATTTTCCAAGATTTGAATACCTCATAACAAAATTTTAAGGCCATGGGTTTGAAAAAAGAGAATATAACTTTGTATTTTTTGTCTATGCCACTGAAAGTTGAGAATAGATTAAGAAATATAGGATGGCCATAATAAATATTGTGCTTTCTATTTATATATCCAATATATTTTATAAGAAATATAGGATTAAGAGTGAATAAAGAGTGAATTGTTCCAAGAATGAATTATTGGGCTCAGGAAAAAAGCAAGAAGAAAAACAAAATGAGACAATGGACCGTTTTCCAAATGTCCCGAGAGGCCAACTTCATTGCATAATATTTCTGCTACGTGACAATCGCCAAAGCTATCAAAAGTCCAAGTCTCTCCACTCTGGCGCAATTAGATATCTAATTGTACAATAGATGAATCATTACTCAACTACTGTCCAAATAATCTAGGCCAATGCTTCTCTCCAGTGAAGTGAAAACGAAGAAGAGTCACGTGCGACTTGTGTGTCGGCCTTTTTCTGCGATAAAAACGGATATTCTGTCTCTATGGAGTGGTACTATCTGCTTCTTTTGTTTGTTTTGGCGAAGGTACCATCTCCTTATTCTTGTCGATAGAGACTGCGACAGGCCCACGTGGTCCAATCACTGCAATCTCCTTTTGCTGATGTCTGAGTTTTGTAAGTTTTTATTACCATTTGTCCGTCCTAAACACGAAATCTTTAGGGCTTGCAGTCAAAAGTTTCGCATCATCAAGTTTACCTTTATCAGCTCTCTCATCAGCTGCTTTTGCTGCTTCCATTCCTCGATTAGGTTTTCATATGATTCAAACTCGAATACTTTCACTTTGATTTTTTTATTTGAAAAAAGGGATTAAACTTTATATGATTCATATCTTTACAATTAAATAAAATATTTAAATTTTTAATATCAAATATTAATAAACGGTCAATCTCATGCTTTTCTAATTATTAATTAATGTTGTTTGACAATAATATTTTTATATATAAAACACGTAGATTTCGTGTATAATAATTAAAAGAAACATTTTTTAAATTACCAAGCTTAAATAATTCATAACAGAATTAATTAAATTACTATTTTTATAATCTATTAGTATTAAGAAAGTATATGTTGAATCATATATACTAGTAGTATTTGGAAGCTCAAATGAAGTTATTCTGTAGTGTTAAGATGAGACAAAATCCAGTGTCAATCGGGGTTTCTTTCCATGCATTTGCCTTCGGGCCTGCAAGATCTCAAAAAAGGCCAGGCACTAGAGTTCCAGATCAAGTAGAAGCCTAGAATCAGCATTGTCAATATGTTATGTAGAATGTATACTAAATTAAACCAAGATTTGTGGATATGGCTCAAAAGGAAAAGCGTGTCATGTAGAATATATACTGGTGCAATAATACATATCACAGTGTTTTTCTTTTTGGCAAATAAAGAATTCCCATCACTACTGCGATTAGATTAATTATAACTCAATGGCCTATCGGTCTCTTGGCATCTGGAAGATTCCTAAAATTAAATTTAATTAAATGATAATACTCTATTTGGTCATCTATGGCATTGTAACAACCGCTGGCTTTCACATTGATTACACAAAAAAAAATGTAATTAAGAACTGCAATCATTTTGTATTAAACTATTATGATTTTACCTTAATCTATTTCAACAAACTTCAATTAGTCAATTGGCATAGACATGAGAAAATAATAAAAATTGCTCAATAATTGATATATTAAAATGGTTATTAATTGATTGAAATCATCAATACATGTGATTTAAAGTAAGCTAAAATTTGTGTCTCATTCAATCTGAATAACTAAATAATGATTGAGCAAGTAATTTGAATCGCTATGTGCAGGAATAACCGTCATTAACAAATACTTGCTAAAATTACTTAATTTCAACATGATGGTCTTGATTTTTTTTAAAATTATAGTTTTTAGTTTGAGTTCTCATTTTTAATTTTAAGATAGAAAAAGAAAAGCCCATAGTTAATGAGGTAGAGTAGGATTTGAGGATTTGAGATCAAGGATATTTGTTAAATGTGTCAATCAATATTATTAGATTCAAAAAAGAAAAAAAAATTACACATTGCTAATGTTTATTTGGTGAATTTTTTATTTATAAAAAGGAACTTCATTAGTAATGCTTAGAGAAAATAGAGGATATAGAAAAACCTAGAAAGAAATCCTTATTAAAGTTTTGTTAGATATTCACTTTGTTATTAAAAAGTTAACTTGATAAGACATGTAACGTTTATATTTATAAACTTTTTGAGATTCTCATATTTGTCTTAGATGAGATTGAAGTATCATGTTGACTCTTTTTTGAAGTGTTTAACGTGACATTCTCCTTCATCGGCTCCTCTCAATATTTACTCTTCTCATAACATTTCAAGTGTTCGATTAAATATCATTTCGCATTAAAATATATGAATTTGTTTTATGAATCAATGACATTCACAAAATGAATTCAATATCAACTAGTGAAAATAATTCATGTACCATATCAATTCTTCGACCTTTCTTAATCAATTAGATCAACAACAAGCATGAGTATTAAAATTGAGTATTTATAAACTTTTTGAGATTCTCATATTTGTCTT